AGGGACTTGATTTTGGAGCTAGAATTTTATCACGAGGGTTTATCAGGTAGGCCGTCATTAATTGTAGCGAATAAAGTCGATGAGGTCGGGGCTGGAGAAGTATACGAGGAGTTAAGAAGAAGGGTGGGCGGTGTTAAGATTTTCCGGGTTTGTGCAGTGTTGGGAGAAGGTGTGCTGGAGTTAAAAGACGGTCTCCGGATGCTTGTGAACGGAGAGGACTCGAATCAACTAGCATTAGACAACATTGATGTTGATTAGGACGATCTGTGTTTGTGACATTAATCATCAATTTTGTTATGGTTGGTACGACTTAGATTTGGGTTATCTTCTGAACACGAATCGGGCTTTTTTGGTAAACCCTTTCGATGGTTGAACCAGTAAGATTTTGGATTTACTTTTTTGTTAGTCACCAAGTTTGTGTTCTTTCAGGGTCATTGGAAATTTTCTTTATCTGTTAACTTTAGAATCGCATACGATTAATCAAAGCTAAAGTAAGCTGGTCCGAAAGTTTAAGATAACATCATAGTTAAATAGTTGTCAATGCCAAAAGGAGGCAAAACCAAGAAGGTATGTAGTCAAATAAAACAATTGATAATCTACATGTACATATGCATATAAGAATGCATATGGAGGTTGAGTTCCGGTGAGAAGGGAAGTTATATTGAGAAGCGTAAGAAGAGATATTCATCCTTGAATCAATCCTAATTGAATGTCAACACTAATGAGGTGCATCGAGATACATATGAGCAATTCTCTTCTAAAATGTAATTCATGAGTGGGCATGAGATTAAAAGTGATCAATGATTCAGATCTCTTCTTATGCTTCTCGCTATAACTTTCATTTTCACACGATCCTTTGTCGACATATGAATTGGATTGGCCGGTTTAAAGGCATTTAAACAATCTAACAAGGTTTGAAAAATCTAAACCCAATAAAAAGTATTTAATGGCAACAATGCGCTGAGAGGTAAGAAAGAGTAATGAACTTTGTGTAGTGTTGCTTAATGTACAATTGAAACTAGAAAGTAATAAAAAGTATAAACGTTTTCTTACTCGTTGCAACGTAAAATAATTTTTTTTCAAACATATGTAGAGCTCTTGATGTACAAAAGATTTATCATCAAATTAGAATAAACATTAGACATTTACAAGTCGATCAGATGACTTTGAAAACCCATTTATATTTGGGCAAAGTACCATTAAAATGTAACGTAGCGAACTGTAGTTTAATTCCTATTTAGGTGTAACAAACTTTGCTTTTTTATTTAAGGGTTGAGTTTCAGTGAGAATATAAGTTATTATGATAAGCATAAGAAAAAATCTCCATCCATAGATCAATTCTAATTAAATGTCAACATTAATGAAGTACACCGAGATGCATTAGACCAATTCCCTTCTAAAGCGCATTTCATGAGTGAGTATGAGATTAAAAGTGATCAATAGTTCAGATTTCTTCTTACTGTAACCTTCTTTCTCACACGATCCTTCGCTTCTTAATCAATATATATAACTAAGCAATTCATTTAATCAACTTGTGGCATCTACATCATCAAATGACCGGATTATTGGGTTGGAGGTCAAAATATCTACAAAATAGAAAAAAAAATTGGTTGCATTTTCCCTTTATATTTATCCCTAAAAGTGATTAATTTTAATACATGCTCCCGTATCTTAGATATATTGTTAAAATTAGTTTTCTTTACATTCATTCCCTTTTAATTTCTCTCTAAAATATGTATGTTTTTACGAATGATATAAAAATTCTTTATTGCACATTTTAGATATCTGTTTTGTCCAATTAAAGACGGCGAAATGCCTCTAATTTTAAAGCCAACAACTGCTCTTTGCATTACCTAGTATACTGCAAACTAGGTTTGGGTATTTTACGTCTCATCACACTGACTTTTCGCTCTTATTTATTTCATGACCATTTATTAATTGGTTATAATGATCCTAAAATCCCAAAGTTTACCAACTTGTAAATCTTGAGAAAAATAAGGCACTTCAAATAAATTATCGTGATCCAAATTACGAGACATGAGTTTTGGCCCCCACGAAGTTTACTTATACCATGATCATAATGTTTGCAATACTATTTACAACCATTTATGAAGGTCATGTGCGTCCTAAAATACTCGTTTTGATGTAGTGATTTCCGAACCTTGTGAAGTCCTGAACGATTCTATGTTTTAAATACATCAGTATAGTGTTACCTTTTATACTCGATTTATGTACATTTACATGACCGGTGATCCATGTAAAAGTTGGCTAATTTATCGATAGTTACTGTAAATCAAATATTTTTCTGTTTTTATTTATTACATTAACTAATTATCTCATACCAAAGATACCGTAAAATGCAATTACTATAAAAGAAAATTTGCATGTTGAGGTAGTTGCTATCTCAAGTGGTAGTGTAGAGGGAGGGGATGTGCCAATGTGATGTTGGTGTGGGT